TTACGAACTCATAAGATTCCTTGTAGAGCTTGCTTCTTAAGTTTCTATAACGGGTATGAGGGGAACTTAGCATGCAAGACGAACAAAGGCACCCTACCGAACAGGGACTTTGCTGAGGAGATCGTCTTCCAACTCCAATTCCTTCATCTGGCGGTCCCTAACGTCTCGATATTCTTGCTCGTTGAAATCATGCTCAACTTCATGCCAAGGGCGGACGTTTTCGCTTCGCAAGGCCGCTTTAATTCTTGACGTATCATTAGCAACTGAACGCAACAATAGCAGGAGGCTAACACATACTGGCTGCGCACCAACGCAGAAACACGCGTGAAGTCTTCAGTCGCAGCACCACTCTCGGTCCACATACGTAAAAAGAAACGTGTCGCGAGGGAATGAACCTTGCAAAAGTCGAGGAAAAAGGGTTGGAACGCAGTGGATGTCGAATCTGGGAATTTGTGAGGAAGCATGAGCTACTTGAATGTCAAGACGAGGTCAACTACTGACATCCAGGGGCGAATATAGCCCAATGGTCGGACAGGAGCTCCACAACTTCGTTCGAAGCCTTGGCGATGGAACAGCGGCGTTCGGGACTTCGACTTAGCTGTTCCAATATAAGCTGGAAAGAAATGTCATGTCAAAGGAGGAGGTAGAAACAAGGAAGTCATATACCTTGGGAAAATCTGGATCGGTTTCTACGAATTTTTTCTAAATGGCTGTCAAACAACAACACCAAGGAAGATAACGAATGACTTACTAGGCTGTCTAGTCCCAGGACGCCGACCTCACTGAACTCCTGAACCATATCCTCGGTCTCGAAACCCAACTGCCGCCACTTCAGAAGGCCGCCTTGATCATCGACTCCTTCCTCCAATCCAGAACTCGCCCAGATGTAAGCTAGGGCTGTGGCGTGAGACCTTTCGGTTTCTGGATCGACAAGTGTGATTTTCTTGCGGTATGTAACACGAACGATGTTGGCTTGAAAGTCGAGAATACAAGAAGTCAAATCCTCCATTATATGGAGTGACATAAGTCGCTACAATTACACGATGAGATTGTGAATGTAAAAATTCTTGAATACTTACAATGACTGCCTTTCTAACGTTCAATCTCTCTAACTCTTCAATAAACTCTTCCCACCAAAAGTCATCCGCATGCGTCAACAAAGAATTGATCAGCATCATACTGTAAACATGAAGAACGGTTTAAAGCCAGACTTTGTCTCGATAAAGACGCTTGACATACCTATACTGCGCCATGGCCGTATCAGCGCTCCCTAAACGACTCACAACAGTCTCTAGCAACTTCTTCTCCTTACGCATTTGTTCAAAAACGACTTGGAAGCCGTATCGGTACACTGAACCAGGCGGGACCAAAGGCGGACTTCTACTTGAACCCACCAAAGTCCCTGGTGCATTCATTGGATCCGCTTCCACCAGCTTCTTCAGAATCGCAGTCGCAGGACGGCAGACATTGATTAGAGAATTTGGCGAAGCAAGAATTTGGACAACTTTGAAGACGAACTCATTGTCGAGAGTTGTCCAGCCATAGTCAAGCTCCATCAAATTTTGCATCGCGGTTAATGCGTACTAAGTGTAAGTCAGAGACATGACGAAAAAGAAGTCGCTTCACAACTCACAGCCAACGTATTTCCATTGGAATCGTAGATCACAGACACGAGTTCTTGCAGGCCATCATGATTTATAAATTCTTGTGCAAATTGTTCTTCCTAAGTGTGCGCTCAGAAAATGCAAAAGTGTAGCATGATAGAATATAAGCACGCGGATGAACTTCTGTAATGCGAACAATGTTATTTTGAGGTTTCTCTCGTTCCGTTGGCTAAGTTTGAATGCTGTTTCTCTAGCTTCTCGAGATGGCGCATTGACCAGTCTGCCAACTTATTAGACTCGAAAAACAACTTTTAGAAGAGCAAAGCATCGTACTTGAGGTTGACTTTGCCCTTAATCTTTTTCCTCAAGTTATCGTTGGTGACCAGCTCGTCAGTCTCATCTCTCAATGCAAAATTGGCCGGGGGATCCTTTATCTTTAAATTAAGACACAGTTGTTTGACCACGTCATCGACAGTCAAAGCTGGGTCGATTCTGGCTCGGACGGTAGTGACTCCGTCAAGAGTTGTCACGTTATTGGTGGGAACGAGCGCAGTTCTAGCTGGATTTGAAGTGGAGAGTGCCCCGTTAGATGTCATTGTTCAACGGGCTGCAATGTGATTAAGAGCTAACGCTAACGTAGGCAAGGATACAATGTAGAGGGGAGGATGGAGCACGATTGCACGCAGAGGTAAAATCGGAGTATCCTGGCGCAAAAGAAAACGAAATTAGTGACGTTCATGCGCAATTAAACGATACAGAAAAGGTCAGAAATGCGTAGATAGCGTCCTATACGATGGCCAATGAATGACCCCGTTCCGACTGACGTGCAAATGTCGAGAAATCATCACAAAGAGAGACTAAGAATAACTCTCACCTGCTGGAGCTCGATGCGGAATGCTATGGACCTATGACTGGGAGATGCAAATCAGAATATTATTCGAATTAAAGACGAGAAGGATCAGAAAAAAAAGCGAGATTGGACATCCAGAGTTGTTCAGACTGACGTGCAAATATATAATGAAGTATCATCGCGGTGAATGAGATAAAAAGGACGGGACTTACTGTGACAGAGATGAGGGAAGGAGAAAACTTGACTGATTATGTAACGTACCTTGGGCTGGTGCATTGCTCTACTTACTGGGTAACTAACTGTTACTCTCAGCCCCTTTTACTTTGTCCCCTATGGCTATAATCACTACACCTATCCATCCACTTTTCTCTGCTATGTCAGCCGCACTTAAGGCTTGAGTACATAAAAGGCGCTCAAAAAAGCTTGAGCCCTGTCATCCTCTCCCACCATGTTGGATTCATCTCTGCTCTCGTCCAGCATGGATTCAACAGGCTCCTCGAATTCGTTTGACTTCATTGAAATCCTCGATCCCGATCAGTTTCAACTGCCTTCATCTATGAGTCTAGACTCAGTTTGGTCCACTGATTCCAACGAGTTCGTGCCGCCCTTTCCAGAACGACCTCCCATTCATTGTACTCCCTTACTCCTTGACGACCGCTGTATGCTGCATCCCTTTGGTCGTGGTATAACGGAACCTGATAAATTCAAAATCTCAACGTCAATCCCAACCCCTCCGAGAATGGGACGCATGCTGCTGGAGCCATTATGTCTCGACAAATGGCTCGTAAGTCGCCGTGTATCTTACTACAAAGCTACAACAGCTTATCCTTCTTTAGTATACTGTCACGTTGCAAAGTCTGTCTCCTGGTCACACACCTTGGGATGGAGGTCCACCCGTCAGAAAACGTCCCTGGATTCCATCTGGTTCTGCATTCTCTCCGGATACTTTCAAGCAAGATTTGGATGCTGCTCGAGCTGGATACAGAAGATCCACATCTCTCTCCATCTCTTCTACTAGAACAAAGGGTCGACGGAAGTCGCAATCAGGTTCGGAGTTTCGCAAGGCGCTCGTATTCGAGCGTGAGATCACTTTACAAACGGACGGCGAACGAAAGAGGTGGTCACTCCAGGTCCCTGCTGAGACGATGAATCCGGAGATGGTTGATATAATGCTCGAACTGCAGGATCTCAATTCGTATTTCAAAGACAGCTTGGCTAATCTAGACGCTTCCACCTTGACCTTGGACAAGGAAAGGGAAAAACTTGGTCCTCCTCCTGCTTTGGTTGTATCAAACTCCCATTCCTCGTTCCCGCTCCTTTGCGAGGCTTCTGCTACTAGTACACCTCGGCACGAATCGGTGGTTCCTCTTGCTGCTCGCCGAGGCAAGCGCTTACTTCCACCATTGTCCCTTGCGCGAAAAGTCGAAAATGATCCATATCCAGGCATTCCGACTGCGTTCTTAGGATCTCCATCTACGTACTCTCCTAAGTACGAGAATGTCGCAGCTGGCGTTGGTCCTTCCTTAGATTTAGAACATATGGTTTCTAACCTCAGGATGCAATGCGACTTTCAGCGTCGAGTGGATGACTCTGACACTTTCGATATCACATCGTCTGAGCTCAGTTTTGCTGCTGCTGCTTCGGAGAATAACAACTCCGATAGTGATGACTGGGCTTTTGCGGTTTCTTTTTTAGACTCGTTCGACAGCCAGGGTACGCATCTTCAATCCAGTCAAGCAGAATCCCATCCAGTACTCCAGTCCAAACCTCTTATCTCGCCAAACAATTTGTCGAAGACAGGGACTATACCAAGCGCGTCTTTGGCCCCACGCGCTCACTGTCCCGCAAAGCCTCCTCCCAGTCCTGTTCCCACGATACCGCTTCCACCTCTTCCAAGCCCTACCGCGTCTCTCCGTGACACTTCCCCTTCGCCTCGGGGTATTCTCAAAAGTTGCAAAAACGTTAGATTTGCTTCCCTGCCTGAAAGAAACGGTGCCGAGAGTGATGTGCCAATCACACCAGGAGCCAATGGTTTACATGTCGCACAGCCTCCAAAGGCCCCTTCTCGATCCCACATCTATTCTCGTCCTTCAAAGGAGTCTAATGATGTTGACGCGGCGTCACAGGGTGTTCAAGAGACCAAGAAGAAGACCGGAAAATCTCCTGCTAATCGCCCCGCTTCAGCTTTTCCTGCGATTGCCCCGTCCAAAATGCGAAAAATTGATCAACCTCATATACGTCCGCAAAGTGCTGTTGTGCCACTATCTGGGAAACAGGCCTCAAATCAACTCGGACGTCGCCCGCTAGGCCGCCTGGACGAAAATCAAGCCAAGAAGGACGTCAATACTCCAAATAGAGCTGGACTGCGTTGGACCATGAACGACATGTCATTCAGACGAGGCAGTCCCTACGGTCAGTCCACTCCGGAAGGATCACCACGGAGTCGCATGCCAGTTCCACTTCGCAACATCTTGACTCGTTTTAAATAAACTTTTTCAATACCTCATTGTCATATTATCTCTGTCATGATTCATTGAACAACATGTGGCCTGATGGTCTAGTAGTATGATTCCTTGTTAGGGTGCTATGGCACATTTCGAGGAGGTCCCGGGTTCAATTCCCGGTCAGGCCCCTGCTGATCACTTTTTATTTATTTACGTTGAATATCATGGTAAGTAGCCACTGGCTATTGTCTGGAGACGATCACAAGGTTGTGACGCCACTTTGTCCACATATTTTAGTTTAGTTCACAATTTGCATTTACTGAGCTGAACCCATATTACACACCAACACATTTAAACCAACTTGTATTCAGCCTCTACCACGTCCTGAACCACGCCCAAATGCGCCACCTCGACCAGCAAATCCGATTCTAATGCCAGGGAACCCAGGAATAAGGGGAGTCTGTCCAGGCAGCGTATGCTGTTGCTCATACATATGTCGAGGGAGCGGCCTGTCTTCAGGTTCAAACTGCAGCTCTTCCTCCTCCTCACCAGGCTTCACGTTGATGCTGTTGAATAAGAGATATCTAAAAGAAGAGAATGGCAAGGCCACTAACCTCCAAGTCTATTACGAGCGCACCAGTATGCCATCCAGCTGCTGCAATGGCAAAACAGAACCTATCCTTGGGTGATTTGACACCATGGTCGAATCTCACCTCCCTGGGGGTATCTACAGCTGGGGGTTCGATTATTCTACCATCGAGAGCGCGAATTCTATGGGCCTCGGTTTCAAAGCCGCCTGCCGCACCGGGGGGCAAGTCGGTCGGGTCTCCTAGACCAAGTGCTCCGCGAGAGTAGGCACCCCATGTGAAAACCTTCCCAGTCGATGTCAAGGCAGCATTGTGATAGTCTCCGAGAACAACTGAAATGATCGACTTGTTCTGTAACTCTGGTATAATTTCAGGCTGAGATTCGTGCGTAGTGTCCGTGTCTCCGATCAGTATAACAGAACTCAAACCTGTCGAGTATGCGATAAATTTGTTAAAATTGGCAGAAATCTGAGAAATATCAGTGCTAGGTCTATCCAGATAAACCAGTTGACAAACATGTGTTATCTTCAGGGTCTCTGGGGATTTGGGCCCAAGGTCGTGAAATTGTGACACTAAATTCTTGATGCTGCTGAACTGCGGCAACTGAGAGATTCTTAAATTTCACTTCAAACGGGATCAAGTCATGCTTACGTATTCCCAGCGCCCATTAGATATGGTTGCCTTCGACTGCAAGTTGCCGAACTTGAGGACATGACCTTTGTTAGTCAATCCGACGATTTGTGTATCCATACCCGCAATCTGAATGAGCTGTGTAGGTTTATCCTCACTTTCACCGTCCGATATTTCCGGAAGAGAAGGTATCAGAGGCAACTGTGTGGGGTTCTCGTTTAGATCCCAAGTGACGCATGGTATGGAATTGTCTGCTTGCGGAGATGCTTTCTTGTCTCCCTGTTCATTCATCTGCGTGTTGATGACCTCAATAGTTTCTGCTGTCGACCCAGAAAATGGCCACCAAATAAAGACATCGCCGGAAACCGTGAGGACGGAAGAAAATTGCCACCCGCACTCGATTTGCATGGGTTTGGAAGCTGGGTCGTTAAAAATGTCGGACGCAAGCCTAAATGGTCGACCCCAACTCGGGAACGTCCATATCTGGCCTTCGGCATCCATAGATGAAGCATGTAAACGACCGCAACTTTGAAGAACAAAGGGAGTTATGAAAAAAACACGCGACAAGATCTTCTTTTTTACCTGATACTCCTTGTCGCTGCAGGCATCTGTAACCTTAACGGTGTTCTGGCAATCTGACCTGGTTCTGAAAACCCATCACTATGCAAGGATGGCGAAGTTCCGTTAAGGGCGCCTACAGTATATGAATCAGTGCGTTCAGTGTGCAAAGAGGTGTAGGACAGACCCCAAACAAAGATTTGACCTTCGGAATCGAGAGCATGAAACGACCTGAAAGAGCGAGTCAGAAGGAGGGTGGCTGCTGAGACTTTCCAAAAGACGTACATTCCGCCAGCGACAAGACTTACAACTCGGACACCAGGAATGTGAAGTTGAATTGGAAACGGGACACCACCATCTCGCATACCTGTCCTCGGAAAATTCGATAACCCCAGTCGACCTTGAGCCTTCTCTCTGTCCTCAGAAGAAGTGAGGATTTCGAAAGACGAGCGTAACATTAGTCCTCACCCCCATACGTATACTTCGGTGAAGTGGACGATGACTGTCAAACAGAAATCCGATGGATTGCCACATGAATGGTACAGTACCTCTAGGATTGAACAATCCGCGATAAATAAACTTCCATCCTGTGGTTCGAGCCGTTCCGGCGCCAGAGAAGTTGTAATCAGCTTGAAGGCGTCGGCGCCAGAAAGTGTCGTCCGATGAGAGAGATGCAAAGAACTTTATTAATGTCAAAGGGTTTCTCCGTACTCGTCGGAGGATGTAATTCTGACCTTATTTGTGCATCCTAGGTTGAGGATGTCTGGAATAGCCATAGATTGGAGAACACTATCGAGAAGGATTTCAATAGGCAACTCATTTAGCAACATGATGTGATGGATGTCGATGATTGAGATGGTGGAGATGGTAGTAGATGTGTCCAAGGAGTTGAACTGCGGGAGCGAGATTGACGTCATCACGGCACGTGCTGATACGCCACAAACCCTGTGCACGTGCATGTGTCATCAAACCAGTTGGCCCACTCTCAAAATGGGTCAGCAGATTCTGTCTGATTTTTTGACAGACAGAAGTACATACTCACCTGAACTGAAGTGGGCTTCAATCCCAACGGAGGCTGGCTTCATTTCAGTTGCTTGTTGTATCTACATGTAAACGCCGTCGTCGCAATCTCCCGCAAACCGATAGTGACCGACACGTTCTGTGGCTTTCTCGCTTGCTCATAGTAGACAGGTATACTTTTACGCCGCAGGTCATGTCTGGTGCTGTTGATGATCTCACACCGCTGTGGCCAAAAATGATTGACAAACCGGTGGACTGCCGGTGGACAAACCAGTCAATCGATCATCTGATGCTTTTTCATTATTCGGCACTGAAGTCCACCTCTGAAATCGGCCCTTCCAAGTAAGTATTTAAATCTTATTCAACCAGGTCCCCACAACCCCCTCCCTCCAACAAACGATTTGACAACTGGAGATCCCGACTTCCAATCAGCACGTCCCCACCTTTGGGCCATGGGCCATGGCGACGCTTAGGCGACACCTCCCATCAGATCAATGAAAGCTTTTTCACCCTAATGACAGTACGAGATGATTACCTCGTACCACAAAAGACCATAACCCGTGATAATATAGACTGACAGCCATGTATTCATGTTCCTCCTGGGGTCAAAGTAAAACCGTATTTCATTGTAACGCTACATACCAGCTGACTCATACCCTTGGGCATGAGGTCAACAATTAACAAGCGCCCAATATCAGGGTACGCAGACCGAGGGAAAAAGCTCTCGAAGCCTCCGAAATTTGGCAAGTTCGTTCAAAACCTCGATGAATATGCACTACCTCATGGATCTTACGTGACCGTATTAATCCTTTTATGTCAAACGATCCTTCGAATCATTGACATTGCGAATAACTTCTTTTTTCGGAGACCCATGCCAGGCCATGTATCAACGCGATGGCGCCGTTGAAGGCAGTTTGAAAGACCAGGTTTTTTTTATCGTCAGAATACCAAGAAGTTCTGTCAAAGTTTAACGGAAGTCTTCTTATGGGAACAGACTGCTCGGAAACAGGCCTTGTAACGTAACCCCGGAAAGAGGAAGATGATTCGTGGAGAAATAATATTAATAATTCGAAACTTCTGTTTAAATCTGCAAAATCATGTTGAGGGGGAATAAAGATAGGTAGGTGTCGCTATAAAAGTATTGCCAATGGGATGGAACAAAGAACCCATAATACTAAGTTGCATGTATACTTGAGATAATGTACATCTGACTAGAGGGGAAGTTAGTGCATGGTATAGTAATGTAAAGAGCAGTGCAAGACAAAAACCTTCGAAAACATAATATACAGTAAATTGGCGGCCAACAAGTGAAAATGTTGAAACTATATGAGAGAAATTCGTAGTATTATGGCACAGAAACAAGATATTATGCAAGAACGAATGAGTGAACAGCAAGAATGTGGTATAGAAAGCAAGGAAGAAGGCCGCGCAAAACAATCAAGACATCGGATAGGGGGATATTAGAAGGGGAAAAATCAACGACTAAAAGTTGACAGAAATCACGCTTCCCATTGGAGGCCATGCGGGCATGATCAACAGAGAGAGGGACCTTTTCTAGTTGTCCGCGAGGCTTCCATGCCCACTCTGAGGCCTTCCGTCGCGGACATTATCGAATATCCCGTAATTATTAGCGGGGGGATATGAAATATCTCTTGAGTCGCTCTCATGCAAAGGCGGCAACAAAGAGGGCTGATATCCGGGCAGAGGGGTCAACAAAGTGCTATCCGGAGGTAGTCTTCCTATAGACAGCTCGATCGATGATTGCGAGCGCGAGCGCTGCATATTATTGTCTAGGGGAAATCCCGTAGCAGAGGACTGGCTGGGCAACGAAGACGATAGATAAGATTGTTGCGGGTTGGGTCGTGAAGATCCCTGCCACTGAGCGCTACCAGCGTAACGCTGCCGTCCATGAGTTCCATAGATGGCAAAGTGCTCGTCACGCTCGTCTATTGAGAGCGACATTCTGTCGATTGGATCGGCAAGTATGGACGGTGCCGATGACGGAAGGCCAGAGGATGAGCTGAAAGAGGGCTGGCGACTGTACGACGAGACACTGGACTCGCTTTGAGATGAGAACCGACGTGTGTTATATTCCTGGCCCTCGTGGCGCAAGTTAACGCTATTTCGTCGTACAGGACCCGGTGAAGCGGATTTTTTTGCTTTGCGCCACTGCTTGCGTAGCTCTTTAAACTCTGAGTAGAAAGATAATTGCATTAGCATAGTCCAACTAATTCGACGCCGGAAACCGTACCGCTTGGCTGACGCTTTACGCCATGCTTTTGCATAGTGACATGAGCGTTAAGATGGTTGAGCGTTCCGTATGCCTTGTTGCAGTCTGGCCAAGAGCATTGGTATAGGCGCTCGATCTCGTCGTATCGGCGGCGAGGACGCTT